AGAGAACAATCATGGGAGAAAGAAGAGCTGTTTATGCACAGAAAGAGAGCTCAAAGGGCAGGAGTGCATGGAGGGATGGACACAGGGAAGAGGTGATTGTCAGGAGGAAGTGGGAGGGGAGCTGTTGCACTGTGGTGAACTGTGGTCAATGTCATGAGACAAAGTATATGTGAACTGCTGTATGGAAAGTGAATTTGCTCAGTAAATTTTCCCCAAAATCACAATAAAAAAAAAAAAAATCATCTAGCAAAAATATATCTGCCATCAAAAAAAAAAATCAAAAAAACTACTGATATTTAACATATTTCTTTTGGAAATCTCCTAAAAGTTAGCTAGCCATATTCAAGTTGATTGAAGAGAAGTGAAATGAAGGAAAAATACATTCTTATGGGATTTGGCATCCTCAGTCTTAAATGATTTATTCTTTATAAAGAGGATTAGAAATGGTTATGTAGGAATAGACACTCCCTGATCAGCATGATAAAGTCATCAGCAAATGAAGGCCGGGGTCAAATAATAAACATGGTTACAAGTTTCAGACCCCAGTTTCTAGACTACTTAGTATAATACTGTCCGAGAGAACTTTCTTCAATAATGGAAATGGTCTATATCTGTGCTAATACAGTAGTCATCAGGCACGTGTGGCTACAGAGCAACTGAAACATGGTTAGTGAGACTAAAAAACTGAATTTTAAATTAGACACACGTGGCTCATGATTACTATGTTGAAAAGTACAACTATTATGAGGATCAAGGTAGAAATGAAGAACCAGGATAAAGGGAGACAGTGGAACCAGGGAAGCTCCACAATTTTAACTATCATGTCTTTAAACATTTATCTCCCCAAAGTTCTACTCTTCTTTCCATCACTAGTTAATTTATTCAACGTGAAACAGTTGGGTTCGTCTCTCTGGGCTTCAGTCCTTTCTTCCATAAAGGGAAAAGTGCTAAATTATACACTAAAGGTCCTTTCCATTTAAAATTCTCAATCTGTGATCTAAACCATAAAATATTAACAACTTTAATTTTCTCCACACTATAAACCCAAATTCTTGCAGTGACACTAGCATTTTAAAAATGCACCATCATCACAGTATTAAAATATATTTAGTAAATAAAGTTTATTACCATCTGATTGCCTCTCCATGGTGTGAAGTATTGACTGCATAAAATCGTTTTGTTTGTCTGAGCCCAACAGTAAAGAATCCATGGCTTGTTCTTCAAGAATGGTCAGCAACATGCAAATACCTATAAGATCATTTACAGTTTTCTTGAACTGACAAACACACATACCATTCTAATGTCTTTTCTGATTTAATTAGCAAAAAATAATAAGATAGGAAGATCAAGTAAAACAATATCCCATTCCTCAAACACGTAAACCTGAGATATTTGTAAGTAAAAAAACAAAACAAAACTCACTGCCATCGAGTTGGATCTGACTCACGGTGACCCCTCGTTGGGTTTCTGAGGCGGTATCTCTACGGAAGTAGATTGCCCAACCTTCCTTCTGAGGAGTGGCTGGTGGGTTTGAACCGCCAGCCTTCTGGTTAGCAGTCAAATGCCTTAGGCACTATGCCACCAGAGCTCCCATTTATATGTAACTACTCCCAAAATTCAGGACTCTCAAGTAACTATTCCCTAAATAACAGGACTTCAGACAGCCTCAGTTGAAAAGGAGAAAAAAATGGTACTAACTTGGGTGGAAAACAATTTCTAAAATAACTGCCACACAACTGTTATTTCATCAACTCTAAGCTGCCTTTAATGTTAACATGCACCATTATTTCACATACTACTCAAAGAAAAATCATTAACTGACACATGACAGTTTCTAAGACTTGGAATAGAGAAGAATAGAGGAAATAGAGAAGAGTTATTTCAAGCTAGTATAGACCTTATTGAAATCCAGTATTTAGCAATTTTTATCAAATCATCAGATCATCAAAGGAAGTTGTACTTCCTCCTCAGAATACTCATAAGAACATGAAAATACTGATCATATTAATGTAGGTAAAATACTCACCTAGCCAATAGTTTTTGTAGTTAGTAGTATCATACATGTGCGATGGTAGAAGAATCAATTTACCCTTCTCCAGGACAGAAGAAGTATAAATGTCTGGACTTTCTAAAAGCCCCAACTCAATGACTTTGAAAAGGCAAGTTAAAACCTCCTGTAAGTCATAATAATCATCTCTGTCCACTTTTCCCAAGTTTCTTGAAGTCAGGATGGCCCAACGCCGAACCTTATGCATAGTAATAACATAGTACATCCATTACTTCACTCAACAAATAACTGCACATACATTAAGAACATGATTAAGAATGTAAGATTCTCTGTAGAGTTTAAAAGACACTTACTATCAGTAATGCAATGTTTGGATCTTACCTGATCCTGATTTGAACAAACTAGCCCTAATAAATCATAATAAATACATCATTTATGAGACAATCATTTCTAGTCATTTAAACAATGAATTACTAAAATTTTAGGTGTGATAATGGTAATGTAGTTACGGTTTAAAAACAAGTCTTTATCTTTATACTTAAGTACTTATACTGTAATGTCCAAAATGTGCTTACAAAACAGGTTACAGCATTATTATCAATGCTAAATTTACTGAAGTTGACAATTTATTGTGGTTATCAAAGAGAATACCCTTATCATTAGGAAATGCACACTTTGTATTTAGGAGTAAAGGTATATACTGTATACAACTTACTCTGTAATGGTTCAGGAGAAAAAAATTATGTAGTTAAATTGAAAACAAATGATTACTTAGAGTGAAATGTTAACTACTGGTGAATCTGGGTATGTACGTGTGTTATCCTATTCTTATTCTTGAAAATGTTCTGAAAAGTTTGAAAAACATTTCCAAATAAAAAGTTTGAAGAAAAAATAACACACACAAAGTTTAAAAAAAAAAAAAAAAAAGACATGTGGTCTCTGGAGCCAGCTGCCTATATACACACCCCACCCACCACTTACAAGCTTGTTATGACTATGAACAAGTCTCTTGATTCAGTTTCCTCATCTATAAAATGTAGATATACCCCACTTTCTAAGAGTTGTTACCAGGTTTAAATAAACAGGAATAGACGGAAAGCACTTAGATCTGCTTCTGACATCCAATAAACCTGAATATTCACTTATTTTTAAAAGTCTTTATATAACATTTATTATGACTGTCTAAATAATGTAAAACAATTGATATTAATTCTGAATTATATAAAGGCTGCTGGTAAGAAAGGTGATAAAAGATCTGTTGTTTGAAAGGTCTTTATTTCAGAAACCTTTTTTTCGGAATAGTACTTGGAGGACCTGCTTCTAGGTCAGTATTTTTTTTTTTTTTTTTTTTAAGCACATGGAAGATATTGTTCCAATAACTTTTGGGTTATATATTTGTGGTTGAGAAGTTAAGTGTCAAGCTATTGAGGTCCCATCGTAAGTAGTCTGGCTTTCCTGATGCATTACAGTATGTATAGGTACAGATATGTCTTTTCTCCAGCCCCATTACGCATCCCTTACTTGTGCCTTTCACTGAATCTGAAAAATACCCCACCACTGTCACCTCAGGAGCTCTGGTAGCATAGTGCATAAGGCATTTGACTGTTAACCAGAAGGCTGGTGGTTCCAACCCACCAGCCCCTCCTTGGAAGGAAGCTTGGGCGATCACTTCCACAGTGATACCACCTCAGAAACCCAAGAAGGGGTCGCTATGGATCAAGTCCGACTCCATGGCTGCACATTGTGTTGCGCTGCATACTGTCACCTCTTCCCCATTCCCTATTCTTTCCTTCAGAAACCATGTTAGGCCTTCTAACTGTATCCTCCATGTCTCTTAACATCTTTTCTCTCCATCCCTTGATTCTCTGTAGCACATTCTGGGTAGTCTGTTTGACTGTCTTTCAAGTTTACTAATTCTCTTCAGCCATGTCTAAGCAGCCATTTAACCCATCTACTGAGTTTTCAATTTTACTGTATTTTCACTTTTAGGTATTCTATCTGAATCTTAAAAATATTCCTGGTTTTTTGATAGTAGGTTTTCATGTCTTTTATCTAAGCATTTTATAGTCTGTACCTAGTAATTCTAATTACATGAAGTTCTTTGGCTACAGGTGTGTATTATTTCTGCTTTCAAACTGGCTTTTTTTTCTTTTTTGTAATTTTGGCAACTTCAGCTGGGACACATCTGTGGGAATTTGGCAGATTCAGTTGAGGGTGGATCACTTCGAAGAGATTTGCAATGGTTTCTGCTATATGTCAAAAATACAGTATCAAATACACAAGGCAAACATGAACTTTTAACTAACTAATATGAAGACAGGCCTGTGGTTACAGAGTCTCAGAGTCATCTTCCTTCTCCTTCAGCTGTGAATTATTTTCTAACATATCTCTGACTAAGGGTGTAGGCCTTCAAAAGCTTTATGTTAGGTCCATCCCAACTCTGTCCCTCCACCCCCCAGATCTTTAACATATATCTGTTAAGTGAAGTTTAGGTTTTCCTAATTTGGGGTAACACTCTCAGAGTGGCTGAGCCTCCCCACCCCTGCCATCTTCTATTCTGGTTTCCAATCCCTTAAGTGTTTTTGGACTGTGAAGACATCCATTATACTCTTGCCTTCTTTGATAAACATTTGAATTCCTGTCATATTTTATCTAACATTTCTAGGTGTTTTGTAGCAGTAACATTTTTCTGTTTATATGGTCACTAGAGTACCAGAAATTGAAGTCCTAATGGCCTTTTATTTTTATTTGGTGGAATCTGGAGGAGACCTCAAACTTAGACTAATCATAATCCTTTGGTTTGTGACACTCTTTTGTCTTTGCTCTGTGCATAGTCCACATTTAATTTTTTGTTTTTTAAACAATGTAACCAGCACTGACAAACTCACCTTTGAAAACAAAAACTAGGACCTTCATCATAATATATAACCCCCCACCTCCTCTTAACCTCCCTGGCTTAAGGTACTCATCTTGAACTGCACATTCTTCTTTCCCTCACTTTCTTAATAGCTATTGCATTCTCATGTATTCCTAAAAAGTGTTCATTTTGTTTTTATTTGTTTTCAAAGTTGCTTTAGGGGACTAGGCACACAGTGGAAGGCACTGGTTTCCGGAACTCATGCTGCCTCTTTCTAGTCACATAGCCTCACGAACCCTTCTGGGTCTCAGTTTCCCCTCTATAAACTACACGTTATACCTAAGGTCATTTTGTTTTTAACTTATAAAAAGCATCCCCTGCTACATATAATCTTGGGGGACTCTTTTTTTACTTAAAATTATATTACTAAGTGTGGTGCAGTGAATTTTTAATATGGCTCTGCTAGCCATGATCTTTTTGAGTACCACCAGATAACTGGGGGGAAACTATGCAAATATTAGGTGCTTGTGGTCCACCCACCAAGGGGATTGGTAGCTTCTCAATAATGCAAGGTACATGACATCCTTCTGAGGGTGGTATTGTTGTTAGCTGCACTGAGTCAGCTCTGATCATAGCAACCCTAAGTACAACAGAACAAAACACAGCCCAGTCCTGTGCCATCCTCACAATCCTTGCTATGCTTGAGCCCAGCGTTGCAGCCACTGTGTCAATCCATCTCATTGAGGGTCTTCCTCTTTTACAATGACCTTCTACTTAATCAAGTGTGATATCCTTCTCCAGGACGGGTCCCTTCTGACAACACAACTAAAGTGGGTAAGACGAAGTCTGGCCATTCTTGCTTCTAAGGAACATTCTAGCTGTATTTCCAGACAAATTTGTTCATTCTTCTGGCAGTCCAGTCTTCCTTATTCATTATCCAGCTTTCACATGAAAGCTTTCAGGCAACTGAAAATACCATAGCTTGGGTTAGGCACACCTCAGTTTTCAAAACAACATCTTTGCTCCTTAACACTTTAAGGAGGTCCTTTGCAGCTGGTGGCGTAGTGCCTAAGGCATTTGACTGCTAACCAGAAAGCTGGTGGTTCAAACCCACCAGCTGCTCCTCAGAAGGAAGACTGGGCAATCTACTTGCATGGTGATACCACCTTGGAAATCCAAGGAGGAGTCACTATGAGTCAGATTCGACTCAATGGCAGTGAGTTTGTTTGTTTTGGTTTTTGCAGATGTGCCCAATGTAACAGAATGTCTGATTTCTTGACTGCTGCTTCCATGGGCGTTGACTGTGGATCCAAGTAAAATGAAATCCCTGACAACTTCAATCTTTTCTCTATGTACCATGATGCTGCTTATTGGTCCATTGCTTATTGGTCACTATAAGTCAGAGACAACTCGACAACACCTAACAACAACAGTTTATTGGTCCAGTTGTTAGGATTTTCGTTTTATGTTGAGGTGTAATCCATACTGAAGACCGTAATCTTTGATCTTCATCAGTAAGTGCTTCAAGTCATCTCACTTTCAGCAAACAAGGTTACGTCATCTGCATATCACAGATTGTTAATGATTCTTTCTCAGATACTGATGCCATGTTATTCATCATATAGTCCAGCTTCTCAGATTATTTTCTCAGCACAAAGACTGAGTAAGAATGATGAAATAATACAAACCTGACATATACCCTTCTTGATTTTAAACCCCCTTCCTCTATTCGAACAGCCTCTTGGCCTATGTACAAGTTCCTCATGAGCACAATCAAGTGTTCTGGAACTCCCATTCTTTGCAATGTTATCCATAAGTTATTCCAATCCACAGTCAAATGCCTTTGCATAGTCAATAAAACATAGCTAAACATCTTTTTTATATTCTTTGCTTTCAGCCAAGATCCACTCTGACGTCAGTAGTGACATCCCTCCTTCCATATCCTCTTCTGAATCCAGCTTGAATTTCTGGACATTTCTTGTCAATATACTGCTGCAACCATTTTTGAATTATCTTAAGCCAAGATTTTACTTGTGTGCGATGTTAATTATACTGTTTGATAATTTCCACATTCTGTTGGATCAGGACCATGGAAATAGGGTGTATGGAACCCTAATGTAAGGTTTGGTGAATTATGCCATTTGTTAGGCTTAAAATGAGCCATCCCAGAAGCAGAAGGAAGAATCTCACTGCCATCAAGAAAGAACCAGAATAGAGTGTGTCCTTGGACCCAAGATCCCTGCACTGGACCTCAGTGGTGGAGACACTGTAACAGCAGAAGTAGGAGAACCAAGAGAGCGACATCAGACAGAGTGGCCAGCTTGCTGGCCCACAGAGCAAGAAAGCTGAGTGCCTTTAGGCAGGAGGCTTGCTGGCGGAGT